GTTTTCTGTATTTTGCCATTGGGATTATAAAATCTCTTTGCATATATTATTTTTTAAGATTTTATTTACTTATTTGAGAGAGAAAGCATGCAAGCAGGAAAAGGGAGAGGGACAAGCAGACTCCTTGCTGAGCGCTGAGCTGGATCTCACAACCCCAAGATCATAACCTGAGCCTCAGATACCAACCAACTGAGCCACCCAGGTGTCCCTCTTTGTATATTTTTTTTATACATCATATGCTTCAAATATTTTTCCAAACTTGTCAAATAATACTTGTGCTCTGTTTCTGTTATATTTTATAGTTCAGAAATTATTTTTCATTTTCATGAGTTAATATAGAAATCAGGGTAGCAACAACATAGAGCCAGTGGCTCAGTGGTTGAGCGTCTGCCTTTGGCTCAGGGCATAATCCTGGGGCCCTGGGATCGAGTCCTGCATCAGGCTCCCCACAGGGAGCCTCCTTCTCCCTCCATCTATGTCTCTGCTTCTCTGCGTGTCTCTCATGAATAAATACATAAAATCTTAAAAAAAAAAAAACCTATTAGATGCATGACCAAAGGCAAACTACTTAATTTCTCTGAAACTTAATTTTCTTAACTGTAAAATGGGGATAACACCACATACTACATAGTTGTCATGAGGTTTATATTCATTCATTTCTTCATTCATTCACTTATAGTTTCCCATTATGTCTGCCAAGCAAAGAATAAGCACTCTTGATTACAGTAGGTACTATTACAGTAATGGAGAACACATTTTCATTTTTGACAGGAACACTCAAATTTAAGTGTGCATTAAAAAGTCACCAAAGATCCTTGTTTTAAAAAAACAAAAAAACAAAAACTGAATTCCTAGGCTTCAACCCCAGAGTTTTTGATTATGTAGATTCAGGATGAGACCCTAAAACAAATATTTCTAATAAGCATCCTCAGGTGATTCTCATGCAAGCAGTCCAGGGACACTGCTGTGGATTCTGCCTTTGGTGATATATCGAAATATACTACCTTATCCCAGAATTAAATAAATACTGACCTATATTTTCTCCTATGTGTTTATGGGTCCTTTTAAAAATATTTAATCCATCTAAAATACATGTTATTATATAGTGGACTAATTGTTTCACACCATTTATTGAATAATCACACCTTCCCCCTACGATTTGGAAAACATATCCTCTACCACCAGGAAACTACTATAGTGTCCATTACTTTACCCTCTGCTTTACAAACTGGTAAGGACAATCCCCTCATTATTTTTGTTTTCAAATTTTTCTTGCTCATAATATTCCCTCTTTCATTTGCCAAACAATGTTGTTCTGTGCTCAATATATGTTGACTTATGTTGAAGCAGTAAATTTTACAAATAAAAGAAATTAACTTCATAATAATTGTTCCAAAGTCTCATTGGGATTTTGCTTAGAATTACAGTAAAAATTGAAATTAACTTGGAAACAAATATCTCTCTCTTTCTTGAAGTCTTTTAAACATCCAAGTATATTTTCTTCATAAAGACCTCCTACACTTCTTAATAACTTTATTCCTTGGTATCATGTATTTCTGTTACAGAAAAGAGAAGTGGTTTAGAGTATGAACTTAAAACTAAGATTGCTTAGGATATGACCTAAGCTCTAACCATTACTAGTTGTGTGGATGACCTTGAATAAGTCACTTAATCTTCCCAATCTTCAATTTCTCATCATAAAATGGGGGTGACAATAAATTCCATGTAAAAAGACGTTGTAAGAAGAAAATGAGACAATGAATGTAAAACAGTTTACAGAGTGACTAGCACAGAAGAAATGCTCCATAAATGTTAATCAGTATTATGAATAAGATTAGTAAGACCATCCTCTAATTTTATTTTCTATTTACTGTTTATTTGCAAGAAAGTTGATATTTTCTTATCTGTGTTCAAATATATCCCCTGTACTTTCTTACTATTTCTAATAGTTTTTCACTTAATTCTCTTTATAGGGAAAATATTAGCTACTTAAAACTTTAAAAAGAAGAAATTGCGGGGATCCCTGGGTGGCTCAATGGTTTAGCACCTGCCTTCGGCCCAGGACATGATCCTGGAGTCCCAGGATCGGGTCCCGCATCGGGCTCCCTGCATGGAGCCTGCTTCTCCCCTCTGCCTATGTCTCTGCCTCTCTCTCTCTCTTTTTCTTTCTCTGTGTCTCTCATGAATACATTTTTTAAAAATCTTAAAAAAAAGAAGAAGAAATTGCAAAACAAAATATATTGACAACAAAAGTTTTAAAATATTACCTTAAAAATTAAAAGGCAAATCAAATGTAAAAACTTTCCAAAAGTACATATAAGAAGTTAACTTGGGCCACAGTAACTTCTTGCAAGATACATCCACGAAAGCAAAAGAAACAAAAGCAAAAATGAACTATTGGGACTTCATCAAGATAAGAAGCTTTTGCACAGCAAAGGATACAGTCAACAAAACTCAAAGACAACCTACAGAATGGAAGAAGATATTTGCAAATAACATATCAGATAAAGGGCTAGTTTCCAAAATCTATAAAGAACTTATTAAACTCAACAGCAAAGAAACAAACAATCCAATCATGAAATGGGCAAAAGACATGAAGAGAAATCTCACAGAGGAAGACATAGACATGGCCAACATGCACATGAGAAAATGCTCTGCATCACTTGCCATCAGGGAAATGCAGGTCAAGACCACAATAAGATACCACCTACACCAGTGAGAATGGGGAGAATTAACAAGGCAGGAAACAACAAATGTTGGAGAGGATGTGGAGAAAAGGGAACCCTCTTACACTGTTGGTGGGAATGTGAACTGGTGCAGCCACTCTGGAAAACTGTGTGGAGGTTCCTCAAAGAGTTAAAAATAAACCTGCCCTACGACCCAGCAATTGCACTGTTAGGGATTTACCCCAAAGATTCAGATGCAATGAAACGCCGGGACACCTGCACCCCGATGTTTCTAGCAGCCATGTCCACAATAGCCAAACTGTGGGAGGAGCCTCGGTGCCCATCGAAAGATGAATGGATAAAGAAGATGTGGTTTATGTATACAATGGAATATTACTCAGCCATTAGAAACAACAAATACCCACCATTTGCTTCAACGTGGATGGAACTGGAGGGTATTATGCTGAGTGAAGTAAGTCAATCGAAGAAGGACAAACAGTGTATGTTCTCATTCATTTGGGGAATATGAATAATAGTGAAAGGGAATATAAGGGAAGGGAGAAGAAATGTGTGGGAAATATCAGAAAGGGAGACAGAACATAAAGACTTCTAACTCTGGGAAATGAACTGGGGGTGGTGGAGGGGGAGGAGGGCGGGGGGTGGGGGTGAATGGGTGACGGGCACTGAAGGGGACACTTGACGGGATGAGCACTGGGTGTTATTCTGTATGTGGGTAAATTGAACACCAATAAAAATTAATTTATTTAAAAAAAAATAAAATTAAATAAATAAATAAATAAATAAATAAATAAATAAATAAATAAATAAAATACAAGGGGAGACATATAAAAAAAAAAAAAAGAAGTTAACTTGGGGATCCCTGGGTGGCTCAGCGGTTTAGCGCCTGCCTTCGGCCCAGGGCGTGATCCTGGAGTTCCAAGATCGAGTCCCACAACAGGCTCCCCGCATGGAGCCTGCCTCTCCCTCTGCCTGTGTCTCTGCCTCTCTCTCTCTCTCTCTCTCTATGTCTCTCATGAATGAATAAATAAAATATTAAAAAAAAAGAAAAACTTAACTTATGGCATCTATCACGAGAAAAAAATTATTCAATAAGCTACAAAAAAACAAATAGTTGGTTATATAAAAAACATTTAAATTAGATCCTCAATTCAAATCATATGTCAATATAAATATCTGAAAGAACAAAGAAAATCAAAGCTAAAAATCAAACCTTAAATATTCTAGAAGACCATTAGTAGCACTGTTTATAATAGAAAAAAAACTGAAAATAAACCAAATGTCATTTTAAGTAACTGTCCGTTTTAATTTACCTATTTAATACATTTAGTGTTTATTATCTGCCTTCCTCCCACATCCCCTCCCCCTGCTCCCAGTCCATGCTAAAATATAAGCTCCAATAGAGCAGAGACTTTTTTATTTTCTCCACTGATATGTTCCAAGAGCCAGTACCTTGCAAAGAGTAGCAATCAATAAATATCTGCTGAACTAGTTGTCCATCAACAGGAAAATGGATAAACTATATGATATTCATGATAGAATATGATAGAATACTATACAGCAGCCAAAAATGAACCACAGTTACACACATCATCATGAATCACTCTTAGAAATACAATACTGAGTGAAAAAAAGAGTTTCACTCAGGGACACCTGAGTGGCTCAGTGGTTGAGCGTCTGCCTTTGGCTCAGGTCATAATCCCAGGATCCTGGGATCAAGTGCCGCATCAGGCTCCCAAAAGGGAGCCTGCTTCTCCCTCTGCCTTTGCCTCTGCCTCTCTCTCTCTCTCTGTGCCTCTCATGAACAAATAAATAAAAAAAATTTTTTTAATATATTTTCAGGACACCTGGGTGGCTCAGCGGTTTGGCGCCTGCCTTCGGCCGAAGGTGTAATTCTGGAGACACGGGATTGAGTCCCACGTCAGGCTCCCTGCATGGAGCCTGCTTCTCTCTCTGCCTCTCTCTCTGCCTCTCTCTCTGTATCTCTCATGAATAAAATAAAATTTAAAAAAATATTTTTTTCATAGTATACACAGTATAAAATGCAAAATTATAAAAAATAAATATGCAGTGTTTAAGGTAAAGTTTCCCAGTAGTATACCTGAAGAGGGGCAATTAGGGCTTTATCTCAAAAACTGTAAAAATTACAAATGTATTTCATAGTTCACAAGTTAGTCTATTACTCTACTTTAATCACTTTTCTTAGTGATTACTTAAAAAAGAAAAAAAAATTTCTGTATCACCTCACTTGCAAAAAAGAAAACGGAAACCCAATCACAAAATAAAATATTTAAAGAGTGGTAAAGTAAGACATACCTATAAGTTCTGGAGGGTTTCTTTCATTAAACCGCTCACACAGACGAATAAATGTCTCAGTATTCTCAGTTGTAGGGCACTCACCATGTCTAGTAATACGGAAACATTTTTTTTTTTGAAAAAGAAGAAATTGCAAATTTCAGCAAAAGGTTTCAATATTAAATAAAGAATCTTAATACATGACTTACCCTTTACACTGAAGTTTTATGTATTTGATTCCTTCTTTTTCTATGTCATTTCTGTCATAGAACCTTGAAGTATTTGTTAGGTCCACTAACAAGCCCATCTTAACCTTAAAAAAAAAAAAAGGAAAGAAAGAAAAAAGGAAGATTTACTAGTAACTGAATTTGTTCCAAAACAAACTGACGAAATGGCAATACTCCAGTTTATCCATCTATATTGAGAGAGATTTTATGTTCACTCTGCCAATAAACTATTGACAAGAGCATCAGTTACTGAAGTCTTATTCAAGGTACCAGAACTTAAAAGGCACTCAATGAAATAAATTAACCCCCAAACTAATGATGGAACTAGAACAGAAGCAAAACTTACTCCACTTCAACATCATAAAAGTCTACCTAAAAAAGCAAACATGGATGCAGTTTTCTGCATCCACCCGACTTATGATTTATTAGCAAGACAATACAGCAAGAATAGCATCTGTGTGAAATACACCCCATACCCCAGGCACACATCAACTCAGCATTCTAAACAGCTATCACTACATCACAAGCTAGGCAGCTAAATTCTAAAGTGAGTACCATATACGATAAAAAGTATGTACAGTCAAAATTCTTTTGTAAATCCCTCAGTCAATAGAGAATAGTACACATGGCCATAACTATACATCTCATTGAAGACTTAATCCCACCTCTTAGCCAGTTTTTCTTCCTGCACTGGAACTAAAATCATTATTTCTTCTGTTCACCATCAACTGATATAGCTGGCTTGTGATCAGAGGCCAAGTGGTTTAAAAAATCTTTCACAACTAGAATCATCTTCAGACTAGTAAGAGAGTCTCACTAAGATATGTACATCCAAACTGAGCCAAGTTAAAGAACAGTTAATTCATACATCTTCGGGCGTCTGAGTGGCTCAGTTGGTTAAGCAACTGCCTTAAGCTCAGGTCATGATCTCAGGGTCCTGGGATGGAGCCCCTACCTCAGGCTTCCTACTGAGGAAGCCTGCTTCTCCCTCTCTCCTGCCCCTGTTCATGTTCTCTCTCACCATCTCTCTAATAAATAAATTAAAATTTTAAAAAAATTAAGGAGCACCTTAATTAATTAATTTTTAAAAAATTAAGGCTCAGTTAAGCGTCTGCCTTCAGCTCAGGTCACGATCGCAGGGTCCTGGGATAGAGCCCTGCATCAGTGCTCACTGTTCAGCAGGGGAGTCTGCTTGTCCCTCTCCCACTGACCTTCACCCCCCTCGTGCTCTTTCTCTCTCACTCTGCTTTCTCTCAAATAAATTCTTTAAAATAAATAAATAATGGGAGCACACGGGTGTCTCCATGGTTGAGCATCTTGCCTTTGGCTTAGGTCATGATCCCGGGGTCCTGGTTTACAGTCCCACATCAAGCTCCCCGCAGGGAGTCTGCTTCTCCCTCTGCCTATGTCTCTGCCTCTCATGAATCAATAAATGAAATTTTTTAAATTAAATAAATAAAATAAATTTAAAAAATAAAAAATTCATACATCCTCTAACCTATTTTGAAACACATTATTCTCTGGGAAGAATGGCAAGAGAAACAATCTGCACTTTTTTTTTTTAAGATTTTTTATTTATTTATTCATGAGAGACACAGAGAAAGAAACATAGACAGAGGGAGAAGCAGGCTCCTCACAGGGAGCCTGAAGCAGGACTTGATTCCTGGACCAGGATCACGCTCTGAGCCAAAGGCAGATGCTGAGTCACCCAGATGTCCCCAATCTGCACTTTTTAAATTGTTATTTTTCTCTCTTTTATTGTTGCTGATTTTACTGAGTACCTATTATTGGATGTGCCTAAAGGAGATTGGCCTACATAATGTTTTGACTCCATTCTTAGAAAGAAAAATGGCAAAAGTATTTATATTTCACACACAACAAAACTGACAAAACTAACAAAACTTTTTTCCAAAATACTAACTAACTGCCATAATGTGCTCACTGATTTTGCCAGATTCTTTAAGTACAGATGAGAGATCAATCTACCCATTAAGAGAGTTCTTACTTACAGGAAATGTATGTTTTATGGCATTTTCTACAATATGCCACCCCTGGACCTACTTCTTTTCTCAAAGAGCTTCAGCAGTGATCTCAATTCCTTCAGAGGACATATATTGTCAAACACAGAGGTTTAGATCTCATTAATACAGCTTCTCAGTGAGTTAGAATTAGAACTCATGGGCAGTCCTGGTGGCGCAGCAGTCTGACTCCGCCTGCAGCCTGAGGTGTGATCCTGGAGACCCGGGATCAAGTCCCACATCGGGCTCCCTGCATGGAGCCTGCTTCTCCCTCTCCCTGTGTCTCTGCCTCTCTCTCTCTGTGTCTATGAATAAATAAGTAAAATCTTTATAAAAAAAAAAAAAGAATTAGAACTCATGTTGTGTGTATCCAGGTCCAAAATAAGAAATGGATGCAAAGTGGAAATGGGCAAGAAAATATGAATTTTCTAACTACATAGGAAAGTTTAGCCAAGGAAATGAAGAAACTGTACCGTATGACTTTACTGCCTGAAGCCCCATATATGTGTATGTGTGAGATGTGTCTATATAGGTAATATGTTATGTGTGAATCTGTCTGCATACACATATACATATACATTACACATACATATTTATTTTTCATAATAGTCCCAATCCATGAAGTAAGAATAATAATAGTATCTACCTCATGGAGTTGTTATAAGATTCAATAAAGGCCTTATTCTGTGCCAAGCACTATTCTACGTGCTTTATATACACTAATTTTATTTACAGATGAGGAAACTGAAACAGGAAGAGATTATGTAACTTGCCCACAAAGCTGCAAGTGGCAAACTGGAAATCAAAGCCAGAATATGTGGCTTCTAAGCCTAAACTCTTACAATACCAACCAGGAAATATTTAATGCTCTATAAATGTTAACTATGATTTAATTCATATCACTATTGATAATGAAAATAAAAGTTTAGGGGATCCCTGGGTGGCGCAGTGGTTTGGCGCCTGCCTTTGGCCCAGGGCGCGATCCTGGAGACCCGGGATCGAGTCCCACGTCGGGCTCCCGGTGCATGGAGCCTGCTTCTCCCTCTGCCTGTGTCTCTGCCTCTCTCTCTCTGTGACTATCATAAATAAATAAATTAAAAAAAAAAAAGAAAAGAAAAGTTTAAAGTTTACAAAAAATATAAATACGCAAAAAAACTACACCAAGAAAAGGAATAACAAGTTATCAAAATCTAAGTGACAATTTTTCTCCCATGATAGAAGCCCTTGGGTAGGGCAGCCCAAGTGGCTCAGCGGTTTAGCGCCACCTTCAGCCCAGGGCATGATCCTGGAGACCTGGGATCCAGTCCCACATTGGGCTCCCTGCATGGAGCCTGCTTCTCCCTCTGCCGGTGTCTCTACCTCTCTCTCTCTCTCTTTCTCTCTCTGTCTCTCTCATGAATAAATAAATAAAATCTTTAAAAAAAAAAAAAAGAAGAAGCCCTTGGGTAATGGGTATTAATATTAGATTAATGTGGGGATCCCTGGGTGGCTCAGCGGTTTAGCGCCTGCCTTTGGCCCAGGTCGTGATCCTGGAGTCCCGGGATCGAGTCCCACGTCGGGCTCCCGGCATGGAGCCTGCTTCTCCTTCCTCCTGTGTCTCTGCCTCTCTCTCTCTCTCTATGTCTATCATAAATAAATAAATCTTTAAAAAAAATTAGATTAATGTACTAAAATAGAAGAGTACAAACAGTAGTGTTACAAGTTGAATTATGTCCCCTAAAAAGATATGTTCAAGTGATAAATCCTATAACTGTGAATGAGACCTTATCTGGAAATAGGGCTAGAGAGTCTTTACAAATATAATCAAGTTAAGATGAGATCATACTGGATTAGGGTGTCCTTAAAAGACAGAAACTTGGGATCCCTGGGTGGCGCAGCGGTTTGGCGCCTGCCTTTGGCCCAGGGCGCGATCTGGAGACTCCGGATCGAATCCCACGTCATTCCCGGTGCATGGAGTCTGCTTCTCCCTCTGCCTATGTCTCTGCCTATCTCTCTCTCTGTGTGTGTGTGTGTGTGTGACTATCATAAAATAAATAAAAATTTTTAAAAAAATTTAAAAAAAAATTAAAAAAAAAAAGACAGAAACTTAGACACACACAGGGAGATGTCAATAACAAGAGACAACCCACAAAGCTGCAAGCCAAAGAATATCAAGGATCACTGGTATTAACCAGAAGCTAGCTAGCAGAAAAGAATGAATGGAAAAGATTCTCCTTCTAAGCCTCCAGAAGGAACCAACCTTTCCAATACCTTGATTTAGAACTTTCTGCACCCACAACTGTGAGAGAATAAATGTCTGCTGTTTTAAGCCACTCATTTCATAGTAATTTGTTACAGTAGCTTTAGGAAACGAATCAGTATGATATCAGATTAATATAAAAAATTACAAAGTTTCATTTGGGAAAGTAGTTTGGCCCTTTCTTATAAAATTAGCTATGCACACTGCAATCATACTCTTGAACATTTACCCCAGAAAAATGAAAACTGTACATGAATGTTTACATAGCTTTATTTGCAATACCCTGCAACTGGAAATAACTCAAATTGGTTAAATGGTTATTTAAGCATTCAATGAGAGAAGAGTTAAATAAACCCTGATACATCCATATAAGTAAATACTATTCAACAAAAAGAAAAGCTTTTTGTTGAAACATACAACAACTTGGATGGCCCTCAAGGGTATTATGCTTAGTGAAAAAAGCCAATCCCAAAAGGCCACATACTGTTTTGTTTTTTAAAGATTTTTTAAAAATGTATTCATGAGAGATAGAGAGGGGGGGGGGCAAAGACACAGGCAGAGGGAGAAGCAGGCTCCATGTAGGGAGCCTGATGTGGGACTCGATCCTGGGTCTCCAGGATCAGGCCCTGGGCTGGAGGTGGCACTAAACCGCTGAGCCACCCGGGCTGCCTGGCCACATACTGTTTTATTCCATTTATGTAATTTTCAAAATGACAAAATTATAGAGATGGAAAATGGATTAGCAGGTACAAATGTACAGAGATGGGGGTGAGTAGAGTCTGGCCATAAAGGGGTAGCATGTAAGAATTCCTCTGTGGAGATCAAACAGTTCTGTGACTAACACCAAATCTATACATTGGATCAAAATGCAGAGAACTATATACATATACACAAAAATGAACACATATAAAAACTCTAAAAACTAAATAAGGTCTGTAATCAATTCAACAGTACTATACAAATGTCAATTTCCTGCCTTGATGTTATACTACAATTATGTAAGATGTCACCATTGGGAAAAGCTGGGGGGAGGGTTCACAGAATTCTATGTACAATTTTTACCACTTCCTCTTAGTCAATAAATTGTTTCAAAATAATAAGTTTTTTTAAGCCACTTGAAGAATGAGAGAGAAATAAAGTATACTAAATCAATACCAAAAGATTTTGATTCTTACCTTCAGACTCTTTAGATAATTTGAGAGCATACTGGGATGGAATCGATTTTCTTCAGCAACTTGACTATCATATCTTGGTCCTAACATTGTCTTCAGAGGTAAGAATCTTCCTAAACATTAAGACAGGTAACAATTTTCATTAAAGAAAATGTTCCAGGTTGAAACCATAATTAGCAATTCTCAAAATCACTTTCTTTTTTTTTTTTTTAATACTTTTATTCATGCATGAGAGACATAGAGAGAGAGAAAGAGGCAGAGACACAGGCAGAGGGAGAAGCAGGCCCCATGCCGGGAGCCCTATGTGGGACTGGATCCCAGGTCTCCAGGATCAGGCCTGGGCTGAAGGTGACGCTAAACAGCTAAGCCACCGGGGCTGCCCCTCTTCTTTTTTATTTTTTTTTAAAGATTTATTTATTTATTTATGATACACATAGAGAGAGAGGCAGAGACACAGGAGGAGGGAGAAGCAGGCCCCATGCCAGGAGCCTGACGCGGGACTCGATCCCAGGACCCCAGGATCGCGCCCTGGGGCCAAAGGCGGGTGCCAAATTGCTGAGCCATCCAGGGATCCACTCTTCTTTTTTAAAAAAATATTTTTATTTATTTATTCATGAGAGACACAGAGAGAGAGGCAGAGACACAGGCAGAGGCAGAGGGAGAAGCAGGCTCCATGCAGAGAGCCCATGCAGGACTCAGTCCCAGGTCTCCAGGATCACACCCTGGGCCAAAGGCAGATGCTCAACCACTGAGCCACCCAGGCGTACCATAAAATCACTGTCTTAAAACGTTTTAAATGGAACTGTTCACGATGTATTCTCAGTACAAACCACACTTTTAAAAGGTATCACCTTAGAATTTTTAAGGACAACATAAATTCCAAAAATTGACAAATAGAATAGCAAAAGAAAGGGGCGCCTGAGTGGTTCAGTCAGTTGAGCATCCCAGTCTTGGTTTCAGCTCAGGTCATGATCTCAGGGTCATAGGATCCAGCCCCACAAGAGGCTGAGCTCAGTAGGGACTCAGCTTGAGATTTTTTTTTTTTCTCCCTTGAGATTTTTTTCTTCGTTCCACTCCTTCCTCTTCTGTTCCTCCCCCAGCTTGTGTGCAAGCACATGCGTTTAAGTTTGAGGCACAGGTATGAACAAAATAGGTAAAGCAGATTAAGAGGTACAAACTTCCAGTTGCAAAATAAATAAATCACAGGGATGAAAAGTGCAGCATAGAGCAGAGTCAATAATATTTTAATGATATTGTATGGTGACAGATGGTAACTACACTTATTGTGGTAAGCACTACATAATGCAAAGAATTGTCAAATCACTATGTACACCTGAAACTACTATAACATTGTATGTCAACTATACTTCATCAATAAAATTTTTTTAATTTTATATTGGCTAATAGTTTTAAAAAGACTAAGGTTTTAAACTACTACATTAAAAAGTTATTGCCTTAAAGCCTTTAAAAATATAATACTAGAAAACTGATAATGGAGTACATTAAATCAGTCTTTAAAATTTCTAATTATACTTCTTTACTGTAAGGTTGGAACTTTCTCCATCATATAAGCTTTATCCTGCATTCCAAGATAGGGATCATACTGAGAAGCATACTAACCAAAATCACTCTTTTTTTTCTTTAAGATTTTATTTATTTATTCATGAGAGACACAGAGAGAGGCAGAGACATAGGCAGAGGGAGAAGCAGGCTCCCTGCAGGGAGCCCAATGAGGGACTCAATCCCAGGACCCCAGGATCAGGATCTGAGCCAAAGACAGACACTCAACCACTGACCCACCCAGGTGCCCCCAAAATCACTCGTTAAACAACTATCAGTGATCATAATTTCAGCAAGACTAACTGAAAGCCTTTTATTTTTGGCCTTTTGTTTTCCCTGAATCATAGTATAAGCATAGGAGGAGTCACCTTATATAATCAATTTTAAAATCAACTATTTTAACTGATTTATATCTTAAAACTCAATAATATCAGTAAGAATATCTACCTAAAATAACATGAGTGAAATCTTAACATCTATCCAGAGACTTTTTTTTTTAAAGATTTATTTATTTATTTATGATAGACACAGAGAGAGAGAGAGAGAGAGAGAGGCAGAGACACAGGCAGAGGGAGAAGCAGGCTCCATGCCAGGAGCCTGATGCAGGACTCGATCCCGGGACTCCAGGATCATGACCTGGGCCAAAGGCAGGCGCCAAACCGCTGAGCCACCCAGGGATCCCCTATCCAGAGACTTTAACCTAAATTCCATAAAACATAATTTTTTAAATGTTTGTGTTTTATGCAACAAACCACTCAAGATCACCAATAACCTCCACAATGCTAAATCCAATGGTCAGTTCTCAAACAACTGGTCACTTTTAAGTTCAAGATCATTTTTTAATTCAATTTAATTTTTAATTCCTGAATCACTTTTTCACTTGGCTTTCAGGATACTACATACTCTTGGTTTTCCTCCTATCTCTCTGGCCTCTACTTCTCCATCTCCTTTACTAGCTCCTCCTTACCTCCCTGACCCCTCAATGTTTTGTCCCAGGGCTCTGTCCTTGGACTTCCTTTCTATCAACATTCACTTACCTGGTGTCTCATCTGATCTCACAGCTTTAAAAGCCATCAATGTGCTGCTGACTCAAAATGTGTATCTCCAGTCCAAACCTCTCCCTGAACTCTAGGCTCGGATATCAAACTGCTTACCTGACTTCGTCTCTACTTGATGTCTAACAGATGTCTCAGACCTGATCTCCAAACCTGAGCTCTCGCTATGTAAGGCCTAAAAGATGCTCCTCTCATGGTCTTCCCCATCTTAGCATATGTAACACTAGTTTTTTCAGCAGTCTCAGGCCAAACCTTTGGTATTATCCTTGACTCCTCTCTTTTTCTCATACTCCAAGCTCAATCCATCAACAAATCCCTTGGCTCTATCTTCAAAATATATCTAGAATCTGAGCACTTATCACCTCTACCATCAACTCATTTAACTTATTACAACAAATATTTAATGAGTACTTACCACATACCAAGCACTGTTCTAGGTACATGAAACATGTCAGTGAAAAGAAAAAAACAGGTAAAAATCTCTGCCTTCATAGAGTTTACACTCTATTGGGGAAAGATAAACCATAAATAAGAAACAAAATAAGTAAATAATATATGTTAGAAGATTCATCCCACTAGGCCCTCTCTCCTTCTTTGTTGTCTCAGAGGTCCAATCTTTCATCAGCTCCTCCAGTCTTCACTTTCCTTATCCAATGTCAGAGTCCACAGCTGATCATCATAGTCAGTCCCCTCTAAATACCCTTAACTTCCTTGATCCTCCATATCACTCAGCCACATTTACCTGAGAAAAACCAAGACCTCCATAAACTCAACCACCTGCCTTCTTTGGGCCTACACCTATGCAGCTCAGGGCTCCCAGAGAAAACCTCACCATATAGCAGAAGGCTGACACTATAAACTGTGTCTAAATCATCTCCTTAGCCCTAAAGACTAGCACAAATATTTGCTAGGTAAAATGACTCCAAAGTCACCATCTCTATCACAAAACTGTTTCATATTACATTCCTAAAGTTAGTTCCGAGTAAGTTCTTCACACATAGAAAGCACAAGATAATTTTTTGTTGAATGATCTGCCTTTGAGAAACAAGAATTTTGCTTTCCTCAAAGTGTTTACCTGAAATCTATCACTCATAGTTGAAAAAAAGAATTTTTCAGAAATAAAGCTTGGCCCTATTTCAAAGAGCCCTCTCCCACTGGAAGTCTGGTTTAATCAGATGTAATTTCATAGTGGAACAGATTAAATATAATTAGTACCATCTTCCTTCTGATTCAGGAAAATTATGAACATCTAGTACTATTGAAATGTATCCCAATGTTTACAGTGAGAAAATGTAAGCAGCCATAACACATTTTCCTAAATATGCCACATACCAAGGAAATTATACAATAGCATGAATTACTTTTAAAATCAGAAAAAAAAAAGAAAAAGAAATAGGTAGAAAATGGAATGTGAAATATTCCTTATTTTTCACTAAAGCTTTCAAGAATATAGCTAGTATCTCTTGCTCTACCCACTATAAAACATTGCTAACCCTGCATTTCTAAAATACACAATGTGGCATGAACATTTCTAGGATGCAAAGACAGAACTTTAAGAGAAATGTAAAGAATCTTATCAAGAATTGTACGTTGTGTTCGTTTTACTTTCTAATAAGCATTAGAAGCTGAAGCTGTATTGATTACTACTAGTAAAGATCTAGTATGACTGTCAGAAGGCCTGGAGTTCTGTCCAGGGATCACAATTAATCTGATAAGTGAGCTTAGTATCTCACTGGAACACAATAATTAAGAGTCTAATTTTTGGAGGCCAAAATATTCTAATACAATAATAAGGAAAAGCTTTATTCCCAGGCCCTTCATTCCCAGCAAAGGGAGAAAAAAAAGGCACACAAGTCTATTTCTCAGAAAAGCGTAAAGCTGCCTGAAGTTAGCACCTCACCTGCTGCTATCTACCCCAAGTCAGTGCTACATTTGTTCCATTTATCTAACAGTAAATCAGTATTCTGAACTTAGTCACTGCCAGCCTGCAGATTACATTACAATTCTGATTTTTTAACCATTTTTCTAACTCCAAACAAACAAACAAAAAAAAAAAAAAATCACTTCAACAAGAACTTCTTTATGATCTTGTTTTTCTCACAAATCAGTGTAGTGGATAACCCTAATGGAAGAATCCAGGAAGCATGCTCCGAGCCAGAAAGGAACCAGACATCTAAGTTTAGAGGTTCCTTCATAACTCCACAAAGAAAACCACACGTAAAAAAGAAAGGATTCACTATAAAGTTAGGGATGTAAGGAGAAAAAGTCAAAACAGCTAGGGAGTAAGACCTACAAAAAAAAAATTTAAAGAACTGTGATGAATTCATTTGAATAAGTGTGATGATTATCAAGTACAACTCTTTATTACAAGTGAATATGCATATAAAAACAGAGCAGGGGCACTTAGGTGGCTCAGTAGGTTAAGCAGCCAACTCTTGATTTCAGCTCAGGTCATAATCTCAGGGTGGTGAGATCAAGCCCCGCATCAGGCTCCACACTCTGCAGCGAGTCAGAACCTGCTTGAGATTCTGTCCCTCTCCTTCTGCCCCTCCCCCTGCTTGTGTGTGAGTGTGTGTGCGCACACATGGGTGCTCTCTCTCTGAATTAATAAATCTTTTTTAAAAAATGGTTAGAGCATAAGGAAAAACATTTCCTCACCCTAAGATTTGCTTAGGTTATCTTTCAGCATTACCTTTATCCATCATTTATATGGTTCTATCGACTGGAGATTTTATATAAAATGTGAAGAAAAGCTGACAACATAGGCGAATCAGAAAACCTGAATTTAAAAAGGTCTATAGAATCTCCCCTTTCAAAAATTTCAAATAACTAGTCAGACATACTACAGATATGTACCTAACAAGTAATCATAGTTCACTACAAAACCTTTTAATTTTGGTTGCAAAATACCTTCTAGAATAAGCAGCAAGTAAGTTATAGTTAAAGTTTAAATCTTTCACTCTTTAGAAAGACACTGTAAAGCAAATGAAAAGGTGGGCACCTGGGTGGCTCAGTCGGTTAAATGTCTGCCTTCAGCTCAGGTCATGATCCCAGGGTCCTGGGATCCAGTCCCATATCAAGCTCCCTGCTCATTGGGGAGTCCTCTTCTCCCTCTCCCTCTACCCCTCCCCACTGCCCATGCCCGTTTGCTCTCTCTCCCTCAAATAAATAAACACCTTAAAAAAGAAAAGAAAATGAACAGGCACAGGCAAGCTACAGATGGGAGAAAAAAATGTTTAAGCATATATCCAACAAAGAATTTGTATTTACAATACATAAAGAACTCATCAATAAGATAAAAGCCCAATTTAAAAAATTTTAAAAAATCAGTACATGATGTGGACATTTCACAGAAGATATGTGACTTGCCAAGAAGCTCAACATCAAACTACAATATTACTAAATACCTATTACAGTGGGTAAAATTAAAAAGACTGATCATACCAAGTGATGGGGAGGATATGAAGCACATAGAACTCTCATACATTAATGGTGGGAATGTAAAATGTTAGGACTTTGAAAAATAGTTGGCATTTTTTTAAAAGGTTAAACATTCACCTACCATATGATCCATTCATCTCCTAGAGATTTACATAAGAGAAATGAAAGTGTATGTCCATATATACAACTGTACAGGAATGTTCATAGCGAGTTAGTTTGTAACAGTCAAAATCTGGGAACAACCCAAATGACTATTAACAAGTGAATGGATAAACAAAAGCGGTGCCTCCCTAACAATGGACTACTACTCAGCAATAAAAAGAGATGAACATACATACATACAAGAACTCAGATAAGTCTCAAAATAATAATGCTGAGCAAAAGAATAGAGATCTCCCCTTCAAACAAGGGTATATAAACAATTTATTATAAAAGTCATAGAAAATGCAAACTAATCTATAATGACAGGAGGTTGCCTGAGGAGAAAAGGATTACAAGGGGCAGGGGAAACTTTGAGAGGTGATGGCTATGTTCACTATTTTGATTGTGGTATGGTTTCAGGGGCGTTTCATTGGAAGTGTGTCTGTGTACATGGTCAATAATCAAACTGCACTTTAAAGTTTGCTGTTCGTCAAACTCAATAAGGATGCAAAAATTCAAAATAAAAATCATTAAAAAAAAAAAAAAAAAAAACAAAACCTCCAGGGATCCCAAGGTGGCTCAGCGGTTTAGCGCCTGCTTTCGGCCCAGGGTGTGATCCTGGAGTCCCGAGATCGAGTCCCACTTCGGATTCCCTGCATGGATCCTGTTTCTCCCTCTGCTGTGTGCGTGCGTCTCTCTCTCTCTCTCTCTCTCTCTCTCTCTCTCTCTCTGATTCTCATGAATAAACAAAATCTTTAAAAAAAAAATACTTCCCCTTGGGCTCAGAGATAGAAGTCTCCTTTAAAAAATAAATAAAAATAGAAAACAAACTCCAGTCTCAGTGTCGATCCATTTCACCACTGGGAAACTTTCCTCTCCTCTTGAGCCCTCCATCTCAAGACTGACATTTGTCCCTTCCCCTTCCGAGAGCCCTGGAAGATTCACAAACTTCTGACTAAGCCTCAACGTAATGCCCACAGTGTTCTTGGGTCCTCAGCTTATGCCACACAAACCTGCTGCCTGCTCTCCCGTTCGCGATACTGAGCGGTCCTGGACAGCGACACGTGCCCCCACCCAACGACCCACCCCCTCCAGTCATTTTCCCAAACACTCAACCCCGAAGCTTCATCGGACCGAGCTCACCTCGGTCCTGAAATACCACTAACAAGCACAGAACCCTTCAGAGGCCTCCCCCCGCCCCCCGGGCCCGCCGGTATGCAGGGACTCGAACACCCCACACGCCTCCGTCCGGGTTACCTGCCACCGGCTGGCCGCGCCGCGGACAGTTCAGCCACCGCGGGGGGATCTTGTTATGAGCCATGTCTCGGGGCCGCGCAAAGCCGCCGCCTCCACCAACGCTCGCCGCGCCAACGTCGCCGCCGCCGCGCGGTCGGCTCCGCACGGGGGCTCCGAGGCTTCCGAATCCCAGCAGGGGTCGGGATCCCAGCAGCTCCTACCCGGGAAACGTCAGAGGCGGCGCGCCACTTTCATTCAGGCTCAACTCCGCCGCTCCGAGCGAGCCCACAATGCACTGCTACTTCCGCCCCCCAGAGGCCCCGCCCCCTTCTTTCCGAGGTCAGAGGGGAAGACGGAAAAGCCCGTTAGAGGGATGGGAAGGAGTTAAAGCCCCGGCGAGTGGGCGGGGCCCGTCACCCGTAGCCCCGCCCCCCGCCGAGCACGCCGCGCGCTCTTAGGACAGCTTTGCGCAAGCGCAGATGGTCCTGCGCGGGTTCCCGCTGAAGGACACGTATCTTCTCTTCGCCCCTGGACCGCTAATGGTCGTCTCGGGAGACGTAGAGAAGCCAAGACTCTTTCCACGCGCAGAGTGATCCGCAGCCTCCACAAAAGCATCTGTTTTAGTGATGCAAGGGTCCTTCCCACCACTGCTAGATCCTGATCGCTCTTTTTCCTGACAGGCTTGGCGTCCCAGCAGGGTCTGGGTTTGATCTGGAATTTGGGAAGTGCTCCCTGACGTGGATCAGGGAACCTGCTTTCGAGAAATTCTAAGGGCGAGAAAATGGAATGCCAGAAATGAAGACTTGCTCTTTGGGTTGGGGCGCGGGGCGGGGCGTGGCGGGGGCGGGGGGGGGGAAGCGAGTACTAATAAGGACCCAAGAAGTATCCGAAATTAATCCCAGAACGTTCTTCAAGACTTTTGTTTGTACATTTCTGGAGCAAACTTTCAGAGTGTTTGGGAGTTTCAGGGGGTCCCTGTCTCAAAGTTACTAACGTGAATAGCTTGGCACAAGGCAGGAATTGCCCTGTGGAGTACCACTACCTGGCGGCGTCCTTTGCCTTCCCAAACAAATGGTCTTTCCCTTCGAGTTGGGAGCATTTTGTAAACTCCATCCCGTAATAAGACTCTGTTATTACCAGTATTGAACATAAAGCTGGATAAGGGAAAGTTGATTGTAATGTAACAGTTTGGTCTTTTTTTTTTTAATTTATTTATGATAGTCATCAGAGAGAGAGAGGCAGAGACACAGGCAGAGGGAGAAGCAGGCTCCATGCACCGGGAGCCCGACGTGGGATTCGATCCCGGGTCTCCAGGATCGCGCCCTGGGCCAAAGGCAGGCGCCAAACCGCTGCGCCACCCAGGGATCCCCTAACAGTTTGGTCTTAAACGCCAGTGCTATATTTGAACTGCAAGATGGTGAAGTTGGTGGGTGGTGTGTATATTTTAAAGGGTAGGTGTGAAACTTGCAGGGCAGCTCAGCCCCTGAATGCCTGGACCCTCTCAGTAAGACTCAGATTTCTCCCATAAATAGAGAGGCCCAATGGCTCTCTGCCTTGAGAGAGCCTGAGTTAGGTCACACTCCCAGGCTGCCCTTGCTGTCACATCTTGAGACCTTTATGTGAATGTGTGTGAATGTGTCACACCTCTCCCCACAGGATAAGATTCCCTTTCCTTACAGACTAACGGTCTACCTAGATAACTCTCTTCTCTGCTGGCAAAGTGAATGCATACCAGAGTGGTGAAGTGTTTGATCCCCCAAATCTCTAAAGATGGAAAAGGTGAGCCTAATTCTGTGATAATGTCTCACTTTCTCTTTCTGGGGGTGACTCCCATTGGAGACTGTCCCCCTCAGACACACTGTGTCCACCCAGAGAGCTCAGGCCTAGGCACAGGGAGAGATTCCCAGAGCCTTCATACCAGTGATGAGCAGCTATAATTGGTTGTAAGGCCTCAGTTTTACGTGTGTGCCTCATTTTTACGTCACTATCTAGTCATGCCCTCTCCATCCTTAGTGCCCATAGATCGAAAGGACCTTGTGGCTTCCTTCACCCCCACAAAGGAGAGTAGAGTAGGAAGGTGGGATCCGCGTGACTGGGCAGTTTCTCCCTACCAGGAATCTTTCTCCTACTCCCACATCTCTGCTTTTCTGCAAGAGGAAAAATAGATGCCCACAGAGGAGCCAACATGACACCTCCCTGGTTTCTTAAAACCCCTAACCCACCCTCACAAATATGTCTTAACCTACTCTTTATTGATCTTCATGGGTGAATTCTTCCCTCGAACATCCATTTTGCCAATAAGGAAACATGTAACGGCAAATGAAAATAAGACTGAATTTTCCCTGTTGACAAAAAGCAAAGAGACTCCCCCCACCCCCACCTTTTCCTAGAACATTCTCTGGAGAAAGCTTGTATTTGTAAATCCTGCCTCTTCACTTTGATGTGTGTATAAATCTTTTCAGCAGCTCAGTGGACCTCTTGCCTGTCTTACCACACAGGAATGTTTTTCTTAGGGCCTGGGAGCCATCTCTGCAAACAGGAAGGGAGATGGCCCCCCTACCTACCTGTCACCACAGGAATTTAGCCCAAAGTGACTTGAGCTGTAACTGCAAGAGTTAAGAAACCCATTGAGTTAAGAAAAATTTGTTGTTCTTTCAAACAATGGCAAATAACTGACACAAGTGGCCTTGCCAATTACCAAATGAATTTAGGATGAACTACGAAAGAATGTATAACAAATGGTACTGCCAAATCCTCTTTAGATGACTACGGGTTATCATTTATCTTGGGAACATATAATCTATGCAGTATATGTGCTTGGCTGTAGGAAAGGGTGAGATTTTTTTTCTCTTTTTGCAGTCTCATTAAAGGATTACCTGTGAAGCTAATTGTAATCTGATTTCATGCGCATCCAATAACAAAAGTGTGTTCTTTCTTTTCTGCATTTGTGGGGAGGATTCTCCAGGTTGGCAAGAGATTTTATTCCTAATTTTTTCACCATCAAGTATTTATGCCCCACTATTAAAGACTATTGCAGAAATCCCCCTCTCTTGCCCCCTTAAGCCTTGCCATGGAGTTGAGTCTCCTGCTCCCTGCATCTCCATCAATGGCTGATGAAGAGCCAAATCTGTTTATTCTGACAGCCAGAACATCAGCACATATGGAAGGATGTTCCTACCTGTCTTCCCAGAGGTTGGCAAAATGTCAGCAAGTGCTATTCGCTTTTTTGATCAATTCCCATCTTCCCTGGCTGACAAGTGCTATGATGCCACCTGTGACTGGCTCCCTTTCTCATTCTGGTGACCCACTGCCTCGACCTGCTGCTTGTGCTTTACCAGCTATAGTACATAGAAGAAGGTCAGAAAGAGATCACCTTGGGTTAACCTTGAGCAAAGGAGAAACGTGTCACATCTCACAGAGAGGTTTAGGTTCTAAATTCAAGATATGGGGCAAAAGAAGACAAACTCCAAACTATCCTCCACTGCTGTTTCTTCATTTGAACTCCAAATGAAGTCGCTGACTAGCATTTAGGGTCACATACAAGCAATCTTTGAACAACAGACACACTTTTCACAGCCAGATTCTTCAGTCTGAACTTCACATCTTCCTCCAGGGCATAGGTTCAAGAAGCAGAACAATAATAGCCTCTCTCTCTCTTTCTTGCATGCCTACATGGGTACAGGTAAGTTCATATGAGTCAAATGTAGGTATGATGTGACTTCTTTGTAGTCCAATTCATACCCACCAATAGCTACTCTAATGTTGTAAACCAAAAGAGGACTCTGAAGTTTCTTATTCACACAAGCTCTATCTGAGGCCTAAAACAGTGTTTGTAATTTTATATTTTTAATCTTTTTTTTTAAGATTTTTATTTTTAAGTAATCTCTACACCCAATGTGGGGCTTGAACTCATGATCCCAAGATCAAGAGTTGCATGCTCTTCCAACTGAGCCAGCCAGGTGCCCCTATATTTTTAATCTTAAAGAGGACCCATACAAGTTATATAAGGTCAGGCCTGTTACTGGTTTAATTGTGGGCAAAGAGACATGTTGAAATCCAAACCCTTTTAGTACCTCAGAATTCAACCTTATTTGGAAATAGGATCTTTACAGAGGTAATCAAGTTAAAATTCGGTCATTGGGGTGGTCCCTAATTCAGTACGACCTGTGTCTTATGATAAGGGGAAATTTGGACATAAAGACAGGATTGCACAGAAGAAAGATGTCATAAAGACACAGGGAGAAGACAGCTATGTGACTAGAGAGATGGGTCTATAAGTCAAGGAATACTAAGGATTGCCAGCAGATACCAGACGCTAGAAGAAGCAAGGAAAATTCTCCTCTGTGGTTGTCAGATAAGACACGACCCTGACTACAGCTTGATTTTGGACTTCCAGCCTCCAATGTGAGACTATACATTTGTTTTTTTAAGCCTCTCAGTTTGAGGTACTTTTTTTATAACAGCTCTAAGAAACTAATATAAGGACCCCTAAAAACCTGGTTCTGCGCCTGCTCTAAAACATGCTTTCTGGATCTAAAGCTCTTGGAGCCAGCGTCTTCCGGACCAAAGTCCCTAAAGGTATAAATGCAGACAAATTTTCCCAAGCCCTTTTATTTCTTTTTTTCAAATTTTTATTTAAATTCTAGTTAGTTAACATACAGTGTAATACTGATTTCAGGAGTAGAGTTCACTGGTTTATCACCTACCTACGATACCCAGTGCACATCATAATAAATCCCCTCCTTAATACCCATCACCCATCCAGCCCATCCCCCATCCACCTCCCTCCATCAGTTTATTCTCTAAAGAGTCTCTTATGGTTTGTTTCCCCTCTCTTTTTTTCCCCTTTCCCATATGTTCATGTGTTTTATTTCTTATATTCTACCTATGGGTGAAATAATATGGTATTTGTCTTTCTCTGACTGACTTATTTTGCTTAGCATAATACACATCCCAAGGCCTTTTAAAGGGAAATTTAAGGGGATCCCTGGGTGGCGCAGCGGTTTGGCACCTGCCTTTGGCCCAGGGCGCGATCCTGGAGACCCGGGATCGAATCCCACGTCGGGCTCCCGGTGCATGGAGCCTGCTTCTCCCTCTGCCTATGTCTCTGCCTCTCTCTCTCTCTCTGTGTGTGTGTGTGTGTGACTATCATAAATAAATAAAAATTTTTTTAAAAAAAAGGGAAATTTAAGGGGCAGCCCGGGTGGCTCAGCGATTTAGTGCTGCCTTCAGCCCAGGGTGTGATTCTGGAGACCCAGGTTCGAGTCCCACATCAGGC